GTATGTGTCTACTCAGAGTTGGATGACCTCTCTCGACCACGCAGCTCTAATTCCCCTGGTGCCAGTCATTAGGATGACTTCCCAGAGCAGCAGGCCACTGGCCTCCAACCTCGCCATCAAATATAACTGTGAGAGTGTAAATTGGTACATTGGCTGGGAAGAACATTTTGGCAATATCTTCAAATTTGCAAATGCATAAACCTCATGCTACAACAATTCTATATCTCATCCTACAAATACACACATGTGACACGGCATGTATGTGTTATTCACTGCAATATTCTTTTAGTAAAGACTGGAAGGAAATCTACCAGTACTGGATTGGTTTTGTCATTATACTATCTAAAGGAATCATGAAAATGGAAGCTTATGGGAGGATCACAGGTATAAATTATTAAAATAAGCGAGCTGCAGAGCGTTGGTATATTGTGCTACTGACTGTGTAGAAAGAAAGAACAAAAGAATATGCATTTGTATTGAATTGTTTACATTTATTACTGAGAGCATTAAAAAAGATTAACAGTGATTACTCATTGTGGTGGTGGTGACGGTGGTGATAGTGTGCCATCACATCAGAATTGATCCAAAGCTGACCCTCCAGCAGGTTTTCAGAAGCAAAAATTTCTTGGGAGGAGATTACCCATATTTCTCCTGTAGCTAGAGGATTTGAACCATTTGCCTTTGGGATTCCAGTGCAGCTTTTTACCAGTAGGCCACCAGAGCTCAGAGGTTACCAATTATGGGCATGAAAATTGAGATAAAAAGAAATTATTTTTTAATGCATTTTGTATCTTTCAGTGATGTTATTGATTGAAGTTTGTCCCACCAAAATATGTGTTGTAAATCCTAACTTAAGTGGGCACACAATCTTTTGTAAAAGAAATGAAGCCTGTGATTGATAGCTTTAACCAACTACTGCAGCAGAAAACGCATCAGCTTAGACTGAAGGGAAAATGGAGAGGAAGAAAAAAGAACCCAAGTTATCTCTTGGAATTACAGGCAGGAATCAGGCCAAAGGAGCAACCCTTGTTGTCCTCCAAGAAAAGAAAAAAGACTCTTCATTGCAGCAGCTTGGAGATAAGCAGAATGGTTGCAGGGAGCGCTAGAAGCAGGGCCTTCTAGGTTTCAAATGATGAGGCCTTGGACTCTTGGATCTCAAAGAACAAAGTCATAATCATTTAGGTTTCAGAAAGTGAGATCTTTGCCAACTTGATTTCAGAAGGTGGGACTAGGAGAATGTTAATGTGTGCTAGGAGAATGGAACTGCTGTCTAATGCTGAGAGAGAGTGGCTGCCATGCCCAAGTGGTAGAAGAATGGGGCCCGGTGGTGGTGGTGGGGTGGGGAAGTCACCCACTAGGAGAATGGGCCCACCCAATGCCCAGAAGTAGAGCCTCTCTCCCAGTGAGGCTGGAAGGCAGAGTTGGAGCGCAGGAGTGAGGGACTCTCAGGATGAAGAAAGCATGGCCAGCACCCACAGTCTGGAGGGCAGGGCCATTGCCCAAATGGTCCCAAAGAATTGAGGACTGTTTTCAAGCCTTGTGAACCAATGTAATTTATTCTGCTGAATTTTAGATTTGCTTGGTGCCTATTATCCCTTCTGTCTCTGCAATTTCTTATATCATTTAAAAATGTCTACTTGTATCTGTTGCACCATGGTACTTTGAAAACAAATAAATTGTAGTCATGGTTTTATAAGTTCCCACATGAAGGGGAATTTTCCTCCAGGATGGAGGTCCCTAAAGTCTTACCTATTTTTGATTTAGATGCTTCAGAAGATGAGGTTTTGATTTTTTTTTTAGTGGATTTAGTTAAGGTTTTTGGGATAGTGTGATGGTATGAATGTATTTTTTATGTGGCAAGAATATGAATTTGGGGGGAGAGGCAAGGTGTGGAATGTTAAGGGTTGAATTATGTTCTTCCTAACTGCCAAAAGAACAACAGACACGTCTTGAAGAAAATGCAGACTTGACTTTTCCCTACGTACCCCATCAGGGTGTGTGACCTCAATCTAGTAAGTTCCTCCCGGCCCTGGTGTTCTTTTCTTGAATGCTTTACTGCAAAAGTTAATAAATATTCCTTCATCTCGCTAAAAAAAAAAAAGAAAAAGAAAATGCAGTTAGCATGTTCCTTGGAGGCAAAGATGGCGAAGCTTCATCTCTCATACTTGGGACATGTAGCTGGCGAGGCTATTTCTTGGAAAGGGACATCGTCCTTGGAAAGATGGAGGGTCAGCGAAGTAGAGGAAGACTCCCAATGAGATGGATCAACATGGTAACTGCAATAGACTGTATTTAAATCCTAACCTCTGCCTTTGATATGTTAATGAGGCAAGATTAGTATATGGTATGTTTTAAATTTATCTGTTTGAAATATAGAAGACATCAGAAAAGCAAATAAGATAAACAGAGGCAGGAAAAGAGAGCTTCTAACCCACATGAAGGGGTTTCTGCCAGGAGCAGAAATCAGAAGGGACAAGGACCTTTCTCTGATACTGACAAAAAAAGAAAGCCTTTTCTAAAAGCAAATATCTTGGATTTGCATTTCCAACTTTCTAAATTCAGGAAAATAAATTTCTGTTTATTAAGCAACTCATTTGTGGTATTTCTGTTCTAGCAATGCTAGGCAGCTGAAATGGCTTGTTTGACAATGAGAATTATGTCTTTAAAAAATTAAAAAGCATAAAAGCATGCTCACACAAAAAGAACTATACAAGCTAGGATGGCAAATGAGATAGTCGTTCACTCTATTGGCTGCTTGGCCTGGGGAGGCCAGACTGAGGCTGAGAGGAGGAAAGGGGTTGTGGGACAGGAGGACGAAAGCCAGGTGCTTTCACATTGCTGTGCTCACTCATCAAAGCCTTTGCTGACTGGGGCCTGATTTGTTTCTTCTCACAATGTAGTTCAGCTATCAGTTTAATCATTTCACAAATTCAGCTACATTCATACGGTTTGGGAAATCTTGTGTCATTTGAAAATCTTGTCTCTTTTCACACATTTCCTTAGAAGAGCAAAATCACTTCCTAAAGCAGTAACATCCTTTGAAGCTGCTTGACTTCTTGGTGTCTCTTTCCCACTCCTCATCACATCTAATGTTCTGGGGTTGGGGGTGAGGTGGGGGGGGATGTCAAATGACATGTATTTGTTTTAGAAATTAGTTTTTTAGAATCTTATGACACCCCTTTGAGATAACTGGCAACACTCTGAGGTGTTGCAAAACCCAACTTGGGAGTGACAGGCAGCCTTGATGATCAGCAGGAAGCCACAGCCAGGAGTGGAGGCCAAGTGGGGCCTGCACTACTCAGGCATGACTGGGGACAAGGGGGAAGAACAGGGCCAGATGCTGGACCTTTCCACTTCTACCCTCTATGCATTTCTGTGGGTCTAAAGGATTGCTTGGGCACTTCAAGGACATGGAGGGCATTTGCTCAGGAGCCACTGACACACCCTGCTCATGGGTGAGCTGCGAGGTTCCTGGGAGATGGAGCTGGTTCCTTTTCCTCGGGGATAATTTTAGGTTCTTACTTCCCCTCCAACCTTTCTAACTGCCAACCTCTGGCTCAGCCTCCCCGAGGGATTGCTTAGACCAATGAGGATACAGCGCTCTTTTGAAATACAGGACTGTTCAAAAGAGGCATGCTAGGGCATGGCCCCGGAGGCATTTTCCGTGATATTTTTTCTCCTCTTTTGTCCCATTGTTTCACAGCAGGAAGAAAGACAGCCCAAGGATCAAGTCCTGATAAGCCTTAATAAATACAGGTATCCTCTCTCCTGCCCCTAAACTTTAACCCCAAAACTAATTTTCTAGCCCTGGAAATGGGATACCTACACCCAGCTTGAGAGGAACTGGCTTAGCTTGGCTGGTGGAAATACGCCTTAAGCCTGGGTGCCAAGAAGGGGGTGGGCACAGGAAATTCTGTGAAATTCAGTGAAGGAAATTTCTGAATGGGATTGGACAAGAGGCTTCTCGAAGCATTAAAATAACTTTCAAACACTTGAAGATGTAGCATGTGAATTCCTTGATTCATTGTACCCTAGTTTAAAAAAATTAATAATTAAAATCTTCAATTGGTAGAATGAACACTGTTCTATGAGGAGGAGAGATAAAAGACTTGGTGATGGTGATTACAGACAACTCCCAATCTCGACCCAAGAGGTCATCTATTTCAGTATGTCTTCATGAAGAAGAGTTGTAGAGAAGGAGCCCATCCAAAAGTGTTTTAGGTGTCAAGGTGCCTGTAGAGGTCAGTGGGGAAACGGAGGAATCAAAGTTCTTCCGCATCCAAGGCTCCAAAATGCCAAATACAAATGAAAATAGACAGGCAATGATCGAGGTTCTGAAAAGTGACAATGCCCCCGCCAAGAGCAAGTGAACTAGAAGGTTAAGGGGACGTATGTCATCGGAACAGAGTCTTGGGAAAGGATCGGAAACCGGCTACCCCCTGTTACGTAGTTTAGGGAAAGGCACCGGACTAGACGAGGGCCATTCTGCTTGCCTGCGATGCGTATCTTTTCCTCTGACAGGTAAAGCAGGGTTCTTCGTGATCCTTCCTTGAGTGTTAACACTGGACCGCGTTCACCTCTGTAGGAAGGAATCACGGCGCGCTAGGAAATCAGCGTGGAGGGACCATTGCGCTGAGTGTGGGAAGCCGACCAGGGGGGCGGTGTCTGGAGGATTGGACAGGTCAGGTAGTTTGAGCATCCACTGATGAAGATGCTGGGCGAAAGGAAAAGTGGAGCATCCTTCCTGCTTCCCTCTAGTTCTTCTCCTGAGGCCGCGCATGAAGATTATTGGCGGCTGCCCCTTTAAGCGTCGTCACTCCTCCCCTGTGCAGTGGCACCAAGGGCTGGGGGGAGGGAGGGCTGAGCATTCTCGCCTTGGTCAACGAGGGGAGATGGCCCGGGCCTGGGGAGTCTCTCCCACGCCCCGCTGTCCCCTCCCCTGAGCCAGGAGCGCTGGGTCACACCCTCCGCTTCCCCCACACCCCACGCGCGACCGCGGGATGGCTCCGTGGTCTCAGGGGAACAGCTCTCTATCCTCGTGGCCAGACGCCCCCACCCTGGAGCCCAATGCCGCCAACACGAGTGGGCTGCCAGGGCTGCCGTGGGCGGCGGCACTAGCGGGGGCGCTGTTGGCGCTGGCGGTGCTGGCGACGGTGGGAGGCAACCTGTTGGTGATCGTAGCCATCGCCCGGACACCGAGACTCCAGACCATAACCAACGTGTTTGTGACTTCGCTCGCCGCAGCAGATCTGGTCGTAGGGCTTCTGGTAGTGCCCCCGGGGGCCACTTTGGCACTTACTGGCCACTGGCCCCTGGGCGCTACTGGCTGCGAGCTGTGGACCTCAGTGGATGTGCTGTGTGTGACGGCCAGCATCGAAACTTTGTGCGCCCTGGCTGTGGACCGCTATCTGGCTGTGACCAACCCGCTGCGTTATGGCTCGCTGGTCACCAAGCGCCGCGCCCGCGCGGCCGTGGTCCTGGTGTGGGTCGTGTCCACCGCTGTGTCGTTTGCGCCCATCATGAGTCAGTGGTGGCGCATGGGGGCCGACGCCGAGGCGCAGCGTTGCCACTCCAATCCGCACTGCTGCGCCTTCGCCTCCAACATGCCCTACGCGCTCCTCTCCTCCGTGGTCTCCTTTTACCTTCCGCTTCTGGTTATGCTCTTCGTCTACGCGCGAGTTTTCATCGTGGCCACGCGCCAGCTGCGCTTGCTGCGCCGGGAGCTGGACCGCTTTTCCCCAGAAGACTCTCCGCCGGCCCCGGCTCGCTCTCCGCCCCCGGCGCCCTCTGCCCCTGAGGCGGCTCCTCCGGCGGCGGGGCCCTCCTGCGGCCGGCGGCCCGCGCGCCTCCTGCCTCTCCGAGAACACAGGGCCCTGCGCACCTTGGGACTCATCATGGGCACCTTCACTCTCTGCTGGTTGCCGTTCTTTGTGGCCAACGTGGTGCGCGCTGTCGGCGGCCCCTCTCTGGTGCCCAGCCCTGCTTTTCTCGCCCTCAACTGGCTGGGGTATGCCAACTCAGCCTTCAACCCACTCATCTACTGCCGCAGCCCGGACTTTCGCAGCGCCTTCCGCCGCCTGCTATGTCGCTGGGGCAGCTGCCGGCCAGCGGAGCCCAGTGCCACTGCCACCACCTCCCCAACCCGTGACCTCTGCGGTGCCTCTGAGGCCCTGACCAGCCTTGCGGGCTCTAGGCTGTGCCCAACACTCGACAGGTAGGTAACCAGGACGGAAGAACTCCGTTCAGGTCAGGAAGGGTTCAGTGTCTCTCTTCCTCCTGGGTCAACTTTTGTGATTGGAGTTTAGTAGAAGGAGGTGGAGCTTTGGAGGGTCTCTGTTGAGAGAAGGGCTAGGTATAGCCAACCAAAATGGGCCATGGTTGCTTCCTTTCCCGCATCAGATCCACCCTGTCCAAGGGCTGACTGAAGGCAGAGGGGTGGTTGTTTTTCAACCCAGGCCTCGGGGTGCACCCGTGGGGCGGGCTCATGTCACCCAGGCCTCTGGCTTTGCCTGGGAAGCTTGGGTGCTGGTTCCCCTCAGTTCTGTGGCAGCCAAGATATCTTGCCTTCAAGAACAGGTTCTGTCATATGGACACCCTTCCTATCCCTCCCTCAGCCTCAGTTCTGGTTTCTCTCAAAGGTTTGTTGACTGTGATGGTGCGAATCCACTTGAGGTGTGCAGGATAGACGTGAATGAGGAGCCTGTGAGTTCTGATTCTTCTCGGGGAAGGCTGGCCTGCAGTGGGAGGGAGGGGGCATGTGACTGAGGGGTGCCCAGATTCCCTTGTGTTATTAAATGTGGTTTCCAGGGTTCTGACCTCTGCCCCTTTCCTTAGTTCTCTGTTCCCACCCTCTGCCTCCTCACTCCAAGCTATGTTATCTCCATTTTCAGGGCTTCCTGGGGAGTTTCTTAGATCTTAAAGGACAAGAAGCTGCAACTCCGTAGATCCAGACTTTTTGGAAACTTCTGGCCTCTGTTCAGAATGAGCCCTGCGGAATTTCTCAGCTGAACAACTCTACCCTCCAGAACCGATGACTGGGCCATGGGGGTTGGGGATGGGGAACCCATGGAGAAGGGTTTCCACCAGCCTGTGGGGTTGCCCCTCCATCTCTTGTCTCTGGGACAAGTTTTCTAAACCCCATCCCGGAACTTCACCACTACCTCAGCAGCTGGAGTGTCAGGCTATGAGCACTCAACTGCCCTCAGAGCCTCAGCTTTGCAGGGGAATCCATCACTTTGCTTCCTTTTGTCCCCTGTACTCAGCAAAGAGAGCACCTCTAATTTCATTCCTTCAGCTGCCGGACCCCCAGGCTGAGCAGGCTGAGAGCGGAAGCTAGAAAAGGTCACAGTTGAAGATTTTGTCCTGAGCTCCTTCCCCACAGCCTCCCTCACTTAGACATGGAACAGCTCTGATCTACCTCACACCAGTGCCAGAGGAACCCCTTCTGGGCTTTGGAGGGTTCATAGGAAGGTGAACCATTAGAATAGCTCTCTTCTTTCCCGTTAAGATTGAACTAATAAATATTACTAAAAGTCGTTTATCTGTTGCCCTCTTTTCTCTTCATTTGTTTTCTTTTCACAATCCATGATTCCTTTCTCTTCTACTTCAAGGTAGCTTTTGACAGACACAGTAGGCTAGAACTAATCCTCGTTCCTTTCTTCCTAATCCACATCAAACAAAAATGGAAAGTCTGTTTGGGTGAAGAGGATCCAGCTTAAACCTTTGGCTATCCTGCCTCCTCATCCTTGCTAAAACTTCTAGAATCCAGTATGAGTCACTAGCAAAGCGGTGCTACCCGTAGGAATTTAGTGTAGGGTTTCCTGTGCTCAGGACCAGGCCTATGGGGCACATAATACATTTTAGTTACCTCCGTGATAGAAGCTCATGATAGACTTTCATTGCCATTAGGAGCCACTTTTGTTCTGTGCCATAATTGTTAACAGGCTGCGTGATGGCAGAGTTCAAGGCATTAGCCAAATTCAGGGGGTACAGAGTTATAAGCTTCCAGGGTAAGCTTGGTGAACTACTTATGGGTGTTCCCTGTAAACTGGACCTGGTTTATGCTGCTCCCTTTCCTCCAGGAACACAGGTTTTATTTCCTAGGATGTTTGCATATCAAAGGTGACCTTCTCCTCTTCAACCCTGAGAAGTATAAGATCTCTTGTGTCCAAGGTGTGGAAGGCTTTGTTGCAAGGACTCAGTTTTTGAACTGTGGCCCTTAGCAGAGAAGGAAGTCTTGCTTCAGCATGGGGATAAATGAAAAAAACTTCCTCTCCCCATTTCTGAATACTTTTTTCCTTACATCACTGAGTCAGTCGTAGGTAGAGGAGAAGGATGATCGGGGAGGAGCTCTGGTTTGTAGAATTGTCCTTGAACATCGTCCAGGAACTTATACTGCTTGAGTCTCGCTCGACACGCACCCGTGTGCCAGCTGTCAGACTTCTTTTTGAGTGTTTAGACTTGCACTGGGGCTGTGGATTCCATCTGCAGATTGTCACCAGTGCATCTGGCAGGTGGAGAGGCAGTTGCCCTGGACATTTCTTCAGCAGCTTGTGGTTGGCTGTCAGGCAGAGGGAGATTTACATCCTTGGATGGGGAGCAGGCTGCCTTTGCCTAGCATGAGGCCTGAGCACTTGAACAGGGGAAGACAAACAACCCCTGAACCTAGAAATGTGAAGACTTACAGGCCAATAAGAGTGAAAGAATCTGCAGAGCTCATGGCCTCTCTAGAGTCTGTTAGCAGGACTGAGTCTGGTCTGGGGCAGAAATGACAGGGTAAGGTGAGCTGAGCTGGAGGAGAGGGAAGGAGGACTGGCTTTCCAGCCGTGATCTTCTCTGTGCAACAGGTGGAGCTGCTGTTGTTGTTGTTGTTATGTGCCGTCGAGTCGTTCCGACTCAT